TATATACATATATATATACATATATGTATATATGTATATATATATGTATATATATATATATGCATTTAAGATAAAAAAAATTTTTTTCTTCTGTCAATATACTCTATCCAGATCTCAAGTGGAGAAGTTTTAGTTTCACCTTGTTTAATTTTGTAAAAAAAAGTTTTCTTTAAGAACCTTTGGCTATTAGAATATAAATCGAAAAAATATTTGACAGTTTAATTGAATTACAAAATAATTGTTAGTAACAGCCCTAATGTGAATAAACTTCATACCTGTACATGTTGGAGGTAATAGACTCTTTAAACTTGTTCAGTCAATTTGTTTTTAAAATTCATTGAATGTGTATCATCATTCCACCCTGGAAAAGAATAACAGTACAAACAAACCATTTAAAGAACCAAATTACTGGTAAACATACCAATGAATGTTTTGTTTTTTACACCCTCTGTGTATACAACAAGACAATAAAGTAAGTCGAAGTCTACAATCTAGAGAAAAACTCCCCTTCATGCATGATAAACCAGACTTGCTTGAACAGAAAAGATCAAATCTAGAAACAGAATGTTTCATGTACCATTTATTAGATTGTTTATATTTAAGTAAAACTGTTAAGAATACGCTTACGAATATGCTAAAAGCCTAATAAATACAGTTTTAAAACATCATTACCCTGTTCAAGGTGCTGCTGTTTTAGTTTAGACAGCATGACTTTGACTGTTTTCCAAAGCCAGACATGTTTACAAATATCTGAATATCTTAAGGGGGGGACAGTGTAGAACAACAGCTGGGCACTCGCCATGCTCCTTCAACTTTCCAACGACCAATGGGACACTTTATCTGGCTTCTCATGGAAACGACCATAACCACAGAAACAGTATAGCTAAAAACATCTAGCTTTTAGAACTTGTAACCAGCCATGTCTTGTTGATATGACACCAAAAAAATGTTTGGAAACATTATGCACATCTTTACTTCCAAAGGGTACTACATCCTCTGTTAGAAATGTAGTTTTTTTTTAGTATTCTGATGTTTTTTAATTACCTAATGTTGAAATAAACGTTTATCCAACCATCTTACCTCAGCTGTCTTTCCAAGTCAAACAGGAAAACCAGAGTTCAAGTCCTATAAAGCCTAATATGGACAAGCTAAGTATGGGAACTTCCATTTGTGAGGCAATGCTTAGGGGTGTCTGTGTTTGAAAGTATTAAGAAAATGAACTGCTGGAGGTGTGACCAAATACTTAAATTACAAAGTGAATTTGTTATTCCAATGACTCCAAAACTTTTCTTCCAATATCAAACCTGGAGTAGAAGCTCCCTAGCCATGGTTGTGCAGCCCTCTGAGGCACAGAGTGCTAGTGCTCCACAGCCAGGGTTTAGTGCCTGTTCCTTTTTTCGTTCTTTTATAAACACAGCTAGTTTGTTTAGAGTTTTTTTTTTTTTTTGTTCATTTTCTTCACATTTTTTATTTGTACTTTTTTTCTTCTTCTTTATTTCAACATCTGCACTTGTACTTCACTTGTGAGGGAAAAAGGCAAAAAAAAAAAAGCAAGCGCTCTCAAGACTGGAGTCAATGAGGTGGTTCTGACTAAAGCATAATAATATGTTAGGATGGCCCAGTCAAAGTCTACCATCGATTTAAGAATCTGCTTGAAAATCAATGTTTTGGCCTATATAAATACACTATCCCATTCCTATTTTTTAATGGGAAATAGGTAATAAAAAAAAGGCTAAAATGGTTTACATCAGGGGTCTGAAAATCTCATTTCACTCTCACTTGTGCTATTTTTACAATAAAAATAAAGTACATTGAAGTTTGATTTTTCAGCAGGATATGAAACCCCTGAGAATTTTAAGATAGAATATACCTGCGTCTAAGTTATTGCCTGTGAAATAATGACTTTTGGACAGTCCCTTGTATTTTTTTATTTTTTATTTCTTATTTTTATTTTTTTTTTTATTTTTTTTTTTTATATTCCTAATGCACCTTTTCCTCCTTGTTTGCACCTTCTTTAAGCACTATGCCAATATGTGACCAGTGAATTTCTCCGCTGTGAGATCAATGAAGCTCATCTCATCTCATCTAATCTAATCTAATCTAATCTAATCTAATCTAATCTAATCTAATCTAATCTAATCTAATCTAAGTTATTTGGATATCATGACGTTAAAAAGGAATAGTAATAATTCATATTTAGCTCTTATATGAAAAAACTACCTGTATGCAGAGCGTACAAAGAACCAAATTACTGGTAAACATACCTGCAGGGTTTACTGTTTTCCTCCCACTTTCTCTGTTTCCATTCAGAGCTCCGTTTCTCCTGAGGAGCACGCGCTTTCACTGTGACGCGCTGAGCTCCGCGTCGCTCGCGCCGCTCTCGCAGCCACACCCTCCCTTTCACCATCTTCTCTCCGCCTGGCACGCGGACAGCTGTGCGGGACCGTCTCGATGTGCGTGCGTCTTGCCTATCGTGCACCCGCAGCATCAGCAACACAAAAGGGCCCATAGCTACCGGGGTTTACCTCAGCGCGAATCGGAGGGAAGAACCGCGTCCCAGACAAAGGTGCTTGGATTTTTCTCTTTTCTTCCATATTGTTTGTTTATGATGACTGTATTTTTTTTCTTCTCGTTTGCACGACGCCGGTGACCTTGTCACCACAACCCTCTGCTCATTTACAATTGACCTGCACTGATCTCCTGCCTCATCCCTCCCACAGATGTGTGTGTTTGCTGTAAATGGGATATTTGCTATTTGATGCGACCTGAAATGCGTAAACGCGTTTTGCTTCTCAGCAGATTTGCATTCACTTTCTCACTAATTAGACGGAAGCAATGCTGCTTTTTTTGAATCACGTTTTGGACATTGTGCTTAGAAACAGATGCCAGATGCTTTGTTCTTGGTGCGCCTTTTTGGATGGCAATTGATGCACCCTTAGACACGTGCGGCATCATCCGCTAATTTGCCATTAACGGTTCTGGTGCTTATTGATTGCTGCCTTTAGGGTCCACGTTAATGGAGTCTTTAGAGGCAGCCGCTGTCTTTTTACATGTATGAAGATCAATCCCAGCATCTGAAACGTTAGGATGTTAGCCACACAGGCCATATGGTGCAGGCCTACATGTTGGGGAAAAGATTATATAGATTTGCTTTTCCATTGGTCATTTAAAGCCTTTTAAATCAATGGCTGTATTTCAGTGCCAGTCAGTAGACTTTGTTGCTGAGACACACAGGCAGGGAGAATAGATGGCAGTTTGCCAGGGGTGAATTCACAGGGCTGCTTGTGTTGTGCATGATTCTTGCGTTAAATAAACCGCTTCGTTTCATAGACCTTTTCTGTCCTTGAGGGTTTTTCATGAAGACTGACATGTAGACACCTGCAGCTGTGACCTGCTGGATGCATGAGGCAGCAAGGAGCCAACCACAGCAACACAGATGTGCCCTTTAGATAGAGAGTAGTTTATGGGTATGGATGCAAAGGCTCCACCATGTGAATAAACACCATCAACCAGTTTGAACCAGCCTAATGGGTTTTGGAGAATCCAATTCTATGCAAGTCGCCGTACTCATAAAGCTGATATATGTTTAATATAAAGTTAGACAGCCTTCTCAATGTCGGACCTTCATTTCTCCTGCTTGAACTTATGTTTTTCTGTTGGATGATAAACTAAACTACATACACAGTTGTTTATTTATATGATAACACAGTAAATGTTTTCAAATTGATATAGGGATGTGAAAGTCATTTAAAAAACAGTTACATCTGTCATATTGCCTTTCATACTGCACTCTTTCCTCCATGCCCACATTTTTCTGTACAGTTCCTTTTATTTATTTATTTATTTATTTATTTATTTATTGTTGGGG